TCGAAATTATTCACCACCTGATGATTCCTATATATATATATATATATATATATATATATATATATATATATATATATATATATATATATATATATATATATATATATATATATATATATATATATATATATGATTCCTATACGGATGAAACAGACTGTTGTGGTTTTTTGAGGTAAAACGAAAAACTATATTACGCTCTATCTATATGGTATTGAGCACTGTTTGTGTTTCGTAAACCAAAATCTTAAGCTATATATATATATATATACACATCAACAGATATATCCACAGATACGGCGAGCATTACACATACATGCAGCAATGAATGAAAACACAGATTGCTTGTTGTCCTGAGACCTGAGGCCGGTTGCTCAAAGCTGGATTAGCGCTAACGCTGGGTTAAGTTTTGGTGTGGGTATATCTGCAAATCCGTTTATTTCAATACTTTAGAAAATAAAACTTCTTTCGATCCTGACAAGACTTCTGGAAAATATCTTCATGTTTATAAAAATGCACTTGGAAAGATTGTTTTGAAGTATTTCGTTATTAATCTAGGATTAAGCTAGACGTCGACTTTTGAACAACCGGCCCCCGTTGTTGATTTTAAAGTAGTACTCGATATAGTAATCTAACCTGCAGTAGTTTTTGTTCGATCCAAACTTTTCTACCTTGTGTTTTAGAAATCCCAAACGAACCTCGGATTCACCGTGTCAAAGTTCAGAAATTACGAAGTGACGGAGTTCAGGGATTGATGAACCATGATAAAGTCTCTTTAGCGGGCCGAATATCACAAGGTAATGATAAAATATTACATACATATTGTCAGGGATGGACCCAGCATGGCCCATGGACCATAGTGGGGGGGGGGGACGGGCGGGGGGGGGCTCTGCCAGCTCTGGTGCCAAGTTGTTTCGGCCATGTGTGCCGCCCGCGTATCAACTTGCTTGACGACTGCAAAGTCTTGCTTGACTGCTTTATTTGAATTGGAATTGTTGTTCACAGTTCGCTTATCATCATGTTATTACTCAAATTACTGTATTCTCATTTTGTCTCTAATATTTTTTTTGCTTATCATGAAAAATTTCACACCCTGCACCCCCTCTGGTCAGGGCTACGGGGTGCACTTTCCCCTCAGTAAATCCATCCCTGCATATTGTAAGATTAATAATATTAATAATATTAGTAATTAATAATATTAATAATTTTATCGCCATGCAAACATACAAAGAACTTATATTGTAAGATTATTCTAAATCTTCATTTTGTATTTTTGTTGATAATAGTTGAAGACTCTACCACCGGACCAGAACATGAAACTGAATTAATGGGATTAGTAAGACAAGGTGAGACTTAAATAAGCCCTGGTCAAGCGAGGATGAGAGTTGATGAGAGTAGGTTCCAGTAGTGTAACATAGCACTTGCTCTGTGCAAGAAAAAGTCATTACGGGCAAGTTGTTTACCAGAAATCAATAGCTACACTAAGTCTAAATTGTTTGCTCGTTTATGTTATATGCATTCTGTTTTTGATTTTATATTAATATATTAGCTGAAATGATTAACATTTATATGATTAAAATTTTGATTAATCAATTCTTCCTACAGTCATTTGCTTCAAATGTGTTAATATGCGAGGGCAAAACTGGACTTGCTCCAAGTCTCTATTTCATTGTCATATAGTATCGATCCACTATAGTGTACATTACATGATGTAGTATGGAGGGGCGGAGCGAGAAAGAGAGACTTGTCAACTTCGGAAAATCTCGGTTCAAAACTGAACCGAAAATACAAGACTTGCTTTAATTGTTTTCTGTCAGTGTTTATATGTATTGATCTAGCACAGTGTAAATAACACGAGTTCCATTATAGTAAATAATACAGAAATAAATTGAGGAAAACAATTAAAGCAAGTCTTGCATTTTCGGTTCAGTTTTGAACCGAGATTTTCCGAAGTTGACAAGTCTCTTTCTCGCTCCGCCTCTCCGTGCTACGTCATGTAATGTTCACTATGGTGGATCGATATGACAATGAAAGAGAGACTTGGAGCAAGTCTAGGGCAAAACTAGACCTTTATTCCGGGCAACCAGTTTTCATCTTAACTTGCCCTGATGGAAAGTGGTAAAACTCGAGTGGATCCTTCATTCTTGATTGACTGAAGCTTATGACCTACATTGCGATATAATAGCTACATTACACTAAAACGTAACTGAACTAAACCATAATTTCAGGTTTAACTGAATTCAACAAAAACATTAAGTAGAATTGAAAACGTTATCCACAAATGTGGCTTAGGCTTGAGGTGTTTTTAAACTATAGTAAACCACAGTTTCTATGTGTATGATTCTAATGTAATAGAGATAATTGCTCTGAAAGTTGCGTGTTTTATTCCCTTTTATCGAATTATTTACTTCTCCAGAACTAGACGCAGATTACTTTCCTTGGTCATCGTGGAGTGTTTGTTCCCTCACATGTGGTCCAGGAGGTATTCGCACGAGTACAAGGAAATGCCAGGGCAGAAATAAACCAAATTGTATTGGCGCCGCTCAACAGAGCGAGACATGTTTTATGAAACACTGTCCAGGTATACCACACTTAACTAAAACCCCCGTGAAAGGAAGATGAGAGTTGATAAAAGTTGGCAGTGCGGGCATAGAGATTATAAATAACACTATAGAGGGGAAATCGTAATCTTATTAATTCAGTCAACGAAAGGGAACGCGGCTATTTGGGGTGACAAAAGTTATAATCTAAAATAAGAGCGAAATTGAGCCAAAATCTTGTTTATGGCAGTTAAGTAGTCCCGTTTTGATTCTTACCAAGCATTTTTAACTCAATTTTGTCTGTAACACATTTTTGAGAGTGCTCCAAAATAATGCTGATGTCAGCAATTTTGATCTTTTCAAGAGGAATTAATCGTTTGAATTCAAAATTTTTGGGGAATGTTTGTAGTAATGACATGCAAAACGTATAAAACACCCAGT